GTTATCCTCACTGTTCAAAGTTTGCAGAGTTCTTTTATGAGCCAGAACTTCCTTACCACGCGAGCGGTCCGGGATCAAATCCTGGGTCGTGAGTCGCCCGGGCCAACCAAGCCTTCCATCCCTCCGGGGTCGGTTAATTGGTACCAGACTTTGTCTGGGAGGATAAAACACTGACTTGTACATCGGCTGGCCCCCGCAAGTCATTGTATAGGCCACATCGCATTCAAACGCCACTACGAATGTACAAATGGAAGTAGAATGCGTGCCGCATCCCAAAAAGGGATTGATCAACGGCAAATGCTTTATCCTTTATTCTTATCTGGACCAGCTGCTGCCTATTGAAGGCACCAAACCAGAACCGCAAAGAAATCCGAAAGGGAAGGGAATAGAGCCATGACTGATCCCCAACCGCTTTTGGCATTTCTAGGATTCGTAGGACTGTTCAGGAGAGAGGTCCACAGCTCACCATCAGTCCATTATCCAGGGTCCACCACCGCGCTCGTACTTTTCCAGAAATTTGAGACCATGTATTTCTGATGGAGAACGCGATAAACCCATCCCCCACCACAACATGCGAAGGGGTTCCTCACATATACGATCTTCCCTCCCAGGAAACGCCTTATCGCAGTTCAAATTGTTCAAACAAGGGTTGTTCTAGGTTCCATGTATGTGTCTACATATCGTATAACGATAGTTTTGAAAATGGCCGGCACTTCCTAAAAGGCCTTCTCGGTAGGTGCCGCCGAGATAGAAAGCTTCTCAGCCTTAGGAAAAGACCCAGAGATAACACAATTCGTCTCACTTATCCACTTTTTCAAGTGCCGCCGACAACTCTTTTGGCACTACTACGCCATTCACGGCTCCAACAAAGACAAGTGCCTTGCATGCCAACACAAAAACAAGCGCAAACCCAACTCGAACTCGAAGTTCGTCCATCTGTGTGATGAAGGCGCAGAAGAATATGCCTTGCCTGATTGAGAGTGGAACAGTAAACCAATGACCGTACTTATGGTACCGTTGTATTCGATAGCACGTAAAAAACCATCTTTGCTATGGACGAAATGACGAATTTGAATCGTGGTCGATATTTTTAAAGGATCAAATATTCAATATGCCCTTTAAATATGGAAAATTTTGAATCACCTGACACTACCAGCTCATAGCGAACGAGAGTTCACTGAGAGCTTGCCGTAGGCAACAACAGCTTTATGAGCAGCTGCACCCTAATAAAATGGTTTCCGCCCTCACTAAATACTCAACAAAAAACGTTTATGGGTACTACGAAGAGAGTGATTGATGTGGTGGCTTGATCATAACCAAATCATTCGTTCGGAAAGTCTAAAATGAGCACTCTCATCCGCAGACGTTCGAACAATGCCCATAAATATTTGAGCTCTCAATTTTTCTAGATCACTCATCGGCTTGGAACTAGATTATCACGTTGGAAACCGCACATATTTCACGCTTTGTGGCCGCTTGAGCCTTCAGTGGATTTTTTGGGAATCTTCCCAAGCAAACCGGGAAGAAAAACCTTTTGAATGATCCAGAAGAATTCTTATTGAATGGAATGGAAAGAAAAACAAAAGAAAAACTGAATATTTGCTTCAAAGTATGGTTGTAAGGTTGAAAAACTGCAGCCCATATATGAGCTTCATGGGCTCCGAGGTGCTGAAACCCGCAATTTGACGCTTTTCCCGACGTCGAAGGCGGAGTTTATGATTGGGAAGCAGCCCATTAAAATTGAGGTAGGTGTGGGGACAGTGGTGCCAGGATGAAGAAAAAACTATCAGAAACGGTTCATACCCCGAGAAATGGGATTCTTTCCTCATTCGTTGTCTTCCGCATTGATGCGACTCTCATCGGTGCTGCCCTCAACGCCAACGCTCTCTCTGCTAAGCCAGCTAGAAACGCCGCGAGTGGTTAGCCAGTCGGTGGGCGTACCGCGCCGATAGCGCCGCGGGGAGGGCCATGCTAGATCGCCGGGGCATATCCTTCGCTGCGAATTGCGTGTCGGTCCGCACCCTTAGGGGTCCGCCTGTCTTTCCACTAGGTGAATTTCCCCTTCTTCGACCTTCGACTGTATGAATTTTCGCCAGTAATCAGAGCTCTCAATAGGACCCTCTTGAGTTCGTATCTGAAAATGCTTTAGAAGGCTGCCCCCCCGATCACGCAATAAGACGACTATGCTATACGAAGTTATTACGAGTCATACACCGAATGATAAAGGTTCCAGACCGCCTTCTAGAGCACGTTTTATAATTGCCGGAAAATCGAGCTTGAACTTATCGAGCACGGGAAGTGATTTTCTTTCCAGGTGTACACATTCGCGTTGTGATCATAAAAGACCAATGCACTGTTCCAGCAAATAAGAAATACAGCAGAAGCAGCTTTCTAGAAAGTCATTCCTTTGAAAGCTGCCGAGTAAAAGTCGACTCGAAGAGACCTTCGTGAGCGAAGTTATACGATACGGTTACTTATGAGGTTCTAGAGACATGAAAACCATTCATGCTTATGCAAACACGCTTACACTGCCCCGCCCCACTGCCAAGATTTGTGAGCTGTTTTATGATGGGTATATCACAGAAACATTATCTTTTATATTCATTTTAATTTGGATTTTTAGAAAAGCGGACCTCGCCAGCAAGTGGGACAAGCTCTAAAAAATAACAAGCAGGAGGAGATTAGCAATCAAATTTTCATAAAAACGATCGCTAATTTTCCGTCGCCCTTTTTGCTAATCTCATGAGGCCGTAGACTTGGGGTACGAATCTTTGGTGAAAATGAAGTACCATCAATTCCGTACACGATGCCTTTAGATAGTGAGTATATCGAGATAAAGGATAAAAAAGGATAAAGCATTTGCCGTTGATCAATCCCTTTTTGGGATGCGGCACGCATTCTACTTCCATTTGTACATTCGTAGTGGCGTTTGAATGCGATGTGGCCTATACAATGACTTGCGGGGGCCAGCCGATGTACAAGTCAGTGTTTTTATCCTCCCAGACAAGTCTGGTACCAATTAACCGACCCTGGAGGACAAGCGCACGAATCCCAGGATCGATCCCGGACCCGCGCGTGTGGTAAGCGTGCTACTGCCACTAACCACTCTTCGCTCCTTAGTATATTGAGATATGCCTAAGAACTTCACAAGTGCAAAACTATTCGGTAAACCTAAAAAAACACTGCAAATCGCACAGTAAACTACACATTGTTGAGGTTATTCTTCACAGAGTTGCAGGATTGTACGAAAGCAAAAGCGCAATGAAAAGAAGAAGAATGCACGCTAAACAAATGTAGGAATGTTCTCCCAGAAAACAATTGTTTAGCACTAGAGTTGAAAAAGAATCCATCTAGTGTTCCTCAGGAGCTAGAGAGATCAATCAACGCTCCCTGAGAGGGTAAAAAGTCAGTAATCCTAAGGTTTCCAACGTAAACAACTGGTGGCCTTCATAAAAAATGCGCACCACCGCACCCCTCCCCACGCCACCCCCCCCCGGTCATAGCTCCCAACGAAAACAAAACACCACATTATCAGCAGAAGCTGAGTCTGTCTAAATGTGAGAAGAAAAAAAACAAAAAAGGAGAATAAGTACCTGTATGAATTCATTTCCTTTGCTGGAGGCGTCATTTCCAATCAACGTGAAACCAAGTCCTTTAGGGCCTTTCACAATCGTTGTCGTTACCATTTCACCTCGAAGTTGTTGAGGGTCACGGGTAAAGAACGATTGCCGTCTTTTTGCGAAACACCTCCTGGAATCAGCGGTTGCTTGCTCGTTGGTGATCCCGCCGCCGCTCGGCCGACCCACCCCGATCCTCCCGCATCGACCCATTGAATCTCTGAAACCTTAGAAATCATTTACCACAATTACTTCAATTGATTCTTCTGTCAATTTATACATTTAATGATAAGTCCTTCTGCCCTCGTTCAAAAGTCCCTGGCAAAGGGAAGCGCAGGCGACCAACGGCAGTGCTGATTGTCGCTCTTCATAAATTGGCTTCCATCTCTACTGAAGCTGAAAGAAAGAGAAACTTGATGCGCCACCAATTTCCGTTGGAGGAATTCACGATAAGAACGAAGGTCAAAGAAGGGAAATTGCATAGCTGGAGAGACAGGCGGACCTCCTGAGGGTGCTGACCGACGCGCAATTGGCAGCGAAAGATTTGACCTCGGCGATCTAGCATGGCTCACTCTTGGCGCGGTTGGCGGGGTACGCCCACCGACTATCTAATCACTCGCCGCAGGTCTATACGTGGCGAGTGATTAGATAGCAGAGAGAGCGTAGTGTTGAAGAGGGCACAGCGATGAGAGTCGCATCAATGCGCAAGGTGGCAAGGCCCAGGGCCCACAAGGGTTTGCCAAATTTCGACAAATTCGATCGCCACCCCTTCCTTTAAACATGCCTTTTTAAAGTTCAGCTGGACAACTGGACTGCAAAAGTCGTCTGAGCCTTCCAATGACCCGAACATTTCTATCATTTTTTGTTCATAACGACGAACGGACTGCTTTCTGTGTCACAAGGGGCACTTTGTGTAACATTTACACCCTCCCCTTCAAAAAGCCAGAAAGTGTCGGGTGCAGACCATACACCACAAGTGACGACGGCCTCCAGAAAATGCAAATGTTTTTTGCCAATGAAATGATTAACCTGTTACAGTTGTATTCGATCAGTTGACACTAATTACAACTATCATTTAAAAAATCAGCTATCACTATGAACCACTACTAACCAGATTTACTTGAGGCCGTCGTCAGTTGTGGTGTTTGGTCTGCACCGCACAATTTCTGGCTTTTTGAAGGGAGGGTATAATGATTTTAGCGCACCATACTCCCTTTTAACATGCCCACAACGCACTACATTCTTTTTCTTTTTCCTTGTTAAAAAAGAATAACGGCCACTCCACTGTGCACCGTTCCAACCCACCCAGTACACTCCCCCTAAAAATGCTCTTCACCAAGTTTGCCGCCGGTCTGTACTCCCCCGCTCCTTCAGAGTAAACTGCTAGCCTCTTATCATTCTGTAATCTACTCCCAAATTGCTTCGGCCCAACACATAAGTTTTCTTGTATTGTCCGATCGAATGGGAGGATAGCCTGAAACTCATTTGTCCATCCGGCGAAGAGCTTACCCCATTCGCCTTATGGGTGGCCGTCGTTGGTAACGCATCGTACCGTGACATTGTAGTTGACGTGCCCGGACGCTCGTATTGCGTCCTTTTATTGATGTGGCTGAAAAAGTCCGAGATCGATTTCTTTGCATATTGCGTCATCATCCTATTGACTTCTGAAAAAAAATGATGACGTGAATATTTCATGAGGATTCACGCCATAACGACGTCTCACGACGGATGAGCTATTTGATTGATCGGCCTGCCTCGTCCTACTGCACCGCATCAATTTCCCCCATGATCTGTTTGTTATTGTGTACAGAGTACTGGCAATGGATTTTACGAGCATCTAAATTACCTCTCATTTCAGAATGCTCAGTTCTAAAACATTTACATGTATAATTAAACATGTATGTAAAAAAGCGCACCCCGAGTTCGAAACAACAATTCTGCACCGCCATAGCCCACGCGCTGGTTGCCATACGCTTGTCACCTATGGGAACTAACCGTTCTAAAGCGACCATTCGAACCGATACAGATGAACTATACTACAGGCCTATCTTACCAGAATCACACGACCGCGGGTAGACATCGGCCCTCGCTAAAGCATTAAATGTACTACCGCTGAACATTCCCCCATCACATTTAACTCGTAATGATATTTTTTAGCAGTACTATTCATGTCACAACGCGCCATTCCAGAATCAATACTCCGGCGCCGCCCTCCCACCTAACCCCCTCTCTCGCCCGCTTGCTGTCTCCCAACCCCCCTCCTCTGCTCGTCTTCTAAAGCATATTTCTTCTCAAGCTGTTCTCCTTGAAAGTAGGCCCTAATCAGGAGACAATCTGCTTTTGCGCCCTCCATTCGACCTCACATCGATACTTCGGCTCTCGAAAAGATGGCTTTCGACTTTGCAGAAACATGAAATAGGAAAATACTAATTATGAAAATATGGAGAAGTAGGCGATAAAAGCCAAAATATTGCTTGAAAATTTTCAGCATTATTTTATCGAAAAGTTTATACCAGTAACTGGAAGTCAATATTCGCGGCGCGAAACAGCGGAAAGCAAGTGTGACGTCGAAATTTCAAGGAAAATCTAACAAATCGAATATTTTGCCTTCCAGAGTCAAACATGTAATCTTGTTTGGAGTCCAGTACATAAAACTTTCCACCGCTTCGGAATAAGAGATCGATTTGAAGAATAAGCCACCATAGAAATATGAACATCCCTAATGAGCCCATTCAAAGATGCTACAAAGAATTTTAGACGAGCACACAACCATTGGCAACGACTAATTGGCCAAGGACAAGCCAGAATACCCCTTTTGGTTGACTTTTTCCACTAAGTCAACTCTGAGTGTATAAGGCCTGAGCAGGAGGAGAAGAATCGAGAGACATGGCGAAATTGAACGAAGGCCCAAATTGCTCTCTGACCTATCATCGTTGTTGTCATGAGCGGCGGTGTTGGCGGCGTTGAAGTAGATGACGTTTGAGATGAGTTCCGGACCACGCAATGGTGATGACGACGGCGACGACTGCTGCATTCAGACCGCTCAACTCATAGCTCGAACTCCGATGTCGGCACAACAAAGTAACGAGATAGTCACGTGCAATAGCTCGACGCCAGCTCGGCCACACAAAAAGACATCATCAACTACTGCGGCAGAAGTAGTAGCAGTCGAATATCGGAGTAATAGGAACCAATATGCCTAGAAATCCGGTCCTGTTGTGGGATCAATAGAGCAGTGTTCTGATGGGCGTGGTTTCAACAGGGTTCTAGGCGCACTCCTTCGGCAAGGCTTGAGCCACACGGCCCAGCCTCCTCCCGTGACGCATAACGAGATTTGCGCGACCACACCCGCGTCCCTCTGCTCGAATTCACTTGTCTAGGGCATTCAGCCTATTCATTGTCATGGGACCTCCACGAGGCCAAATTCAAATTGCTGATCGCATTGGGCTTGCCGAACGTCAAATTCTGGGAGGCAGCCTCCAGGTCGAGAAAAAAGTCCCACCTGCCCTCTTAAAGACGAGTGGAGGAACGTCCAGAAGTCCAATGAATTCTAAAGGGTGTAAGTAATCAGACACATGAGCAATCACTACCATAAATGAAGTAGTCACATATTGATTCAGGCACAGGCTTAGGTGAACAATCAATCTTTCCTGGACCCTCCTGTGATGAATCGATATCCGCAGACACTTGGAGATTAATTACTCGATGGTAAAGCCACTGAGTTGCAGTGCGTTCAATAGCCCTGAGCCTATATGATGGTTGAAGCCCTTGTCCCATGAAGAACCGCGCTGGTTATTCGAGCTTTCATCTTCTAACTAGCCAACAGTATAGCTTTTACATGACAACCCTACCGATTGATCATTCCTGTCTCGACCACCTCTCAGGTCCGCTATAAGGCGCATCCCGCCCCTAGGACAACCTCCCTTGGGCAAATTCTCAGAGAGGACGAGGTCCTGGGATGAAGACTGAAGAATTAAGCGATGAGTGCTGACCAGACCTCCAAAGTGCGCCATACACTTGACGCCCAATCATATTAAATGAAGCACTGGAAGGCCTTTGGCTCCCCCCCGATGTTTGAACGTTCACAGGTGAGTGGCAACGACACCGGTCTATTTCGAAATGGATGAACTGAGAATGCTTTGTCTGGATACCACAGATCAGTTGTGGACCTACATAATTATCTGTCAAAAATGGCAAAACTCAGCTCAGAAATACAATTCGATCGATGGAGGCACGAAAATGTGAACTGCCAATTCGACAAGAAGCTTTGAAAATAATGTTGGCTCAAGCGAGATCCTATATCACTAACATAAAATAGGCCAGCAGAGAACGGAGGAATCATTGAAGACCAGTTATCGGGAGTTCTTCGAGTACCATGAAACGGGCCAGCCCTTGCGATATGTCTATTGTGGCGGTGTGGTTTTTGACAATCACAGCGACAACGCCGGGTTCCCACATTCCTTACCTCACTATCTTTCGGCTTGTGTTTTAAATAGTTCGCTCTCAGTTATATGTTTTGTCAGCGCCCGATCAGCAAGGGATTGGTCCCAACGACTGAAACCCAGTCGAGAATTTTTATGTCGATCATTTCTTTTTTTGCAGATTTGTTTTCTTCGCTCGATGCAGTCTTTCAAGGATGGTTTTTTCAGGCGATTTCTTACACTTTTCAAAACCGGTAGTGAAGCATTACATTTGGCGACCAAGCGTTTTTTGGGTGCTACGAGATTGAGTCCTTGCTGAAACGCTATCCATACGATGTATCAGTACCACATCAATGGACTATGCGGAAACTGCTGAAACATCATTTGTCTCGTACAAATGCTTAATGGCTGCAAACCAAGCAAAAATCTCCCCGTCCCGCAAAGGTGAAACTTCGGAACGCTCTCGGAAAATTCCAATTTTCCACTGTAGAATCCACAAATGAGGTTGAACACGAATCTCTTTTTTGCCAATGTGTTGTTACCATGGGTGCATTTAGTCATACCAAATCAGTTGCTAACATCAAGAATGATACATCTATATTGCATGAAGAAGCAATTCCAAGCAACCATTTTCTAAAACTTTCACTGTGAAAGATGTTCAAAGAACGTGGCCATTACAAGTTTCACAACATATTTCGGGTTAATATAGCACCGCTTAAAATTTGGAATATGCGCAAAGGAATAAAATTCAGGGATTTCTTACAACTTTTCAAAACCCGTTATAAAGCCAATTAAAAATAAGTGGAGAGGTAAACGAATCGGAAAAAAGCAATTAGAGCACTCACTCGACGAAGAATGTGCCGTACTCGGGATCGTCAACCTGCTCCCAACCGGGCGGTAGATCTCGTGGGTCTTCCCATGTGGTAGTGCCAGAGTTGTGGCTGAAATTAAATAATATTGGATTCGGAGAATGACAAACTTTATCCTTTTATTACTTCTTAAACAAATATTGATCATTAGCGGGTGAGTAAAGATTGTTCAATGTCCAAGAGTTGCACCTTCACTAAATCTGGTCTATGATTACTTACGCTATAGATTTTAACATGTAACGACAGCGTGCGCCACATGGTGGTGCACGTGGGTCCATGATTACCTGACGCCATAGATTTTGACACGGGGATAACGAAGCGGCCCACATGGTGGCGCACGCTACTCTTTCTTTCTTTCTTTCTTTCTTCTTTCTTTCTTTCTTTCTTTCTTTCTTTCTTTCTTTCTTTCTTTCTTTCTTTCTTTCTTTCTTTCTTTCTTTCTTTCTTTCTTTCTTTCTTTCTTTCTTTCTTTCTTTCTTTCTTTCTTTCTTTCTTTCTTTCTTTCTTTCTTTCTTTCTTTCTTTCTTTCTTTCTTTCTTTCTTTCTTTCTTCTTTCTTTCTTTCTTTCTTTATTTATTTATTTATTTATTTATTTAGCTATTGTTGACAACTGAGGCACATGAATACAATAACAAAATTGAGCAAAAAAAAACATTTTTCTTGTAATATTCCCAGAAATCTGAAGTATACCCGTGATAACTCTTGATAGGGTGGAAGTGCTGTAGTGGCAAGTGGCACGCGTACCACGCGAGCGGTCCAGAAACCAAAACCTGGGTCGTAAGTCGCCCCCAATTAACCGGCCAAACCAAAGCCTTACCTATTTACGTGGTCGATTAAATTAAAACACAGGGTGGAGAAGAGCGACAAACACTGACTTGATACACATGGGCGGGCCAATAGACATGACTCTAATAATGGTATAGGCCACTGCCATTAAAAATGCACACTGGTGAATGGAAGTAGTAAGTGGCCCCACGGTCAACGCGCGAGCCAAGTCAACACCAGCGGGCTAAGGCGCGTGCCGACCTTTTTCCCCAGGACGTGGACGGCTGAGTTTTAACAAACTTACAATAAAATTCATATGCACTTTGTTTTTATTTTACTTTCCAACTTTTTCTATTTGATGAATGGCTTACCCATGGTTCACACGTCCCGAGACCCCTTCCCCTAAATATAGCCACATCCTTGCTCGGGGTTGTTGTTTCGCATTTTTCGATAATGTCACCTACAGCTTCCATTCATTCTTTGCACCCTAGTTTTAGAGCGGAAAGGCGGGCTACGAACTTGTCGTCAACGGAAATCTCTTCTTTGATGATGAGACACGGAAACTGCTTTAGCCCCGTGCCAACCCCATGTTAACCCCGCATGCGCAAAAAACCCCGTCGTCCGTTACGTATTAATCCTTGCGGTTGTGCTAGCTTCAATTAAGCATAGGAAGATGAGACTTAGAATTAGAATTTAATTTTATGTGTAAGCTCAAAATCAAGTCTAGTAGCTTGGATCTTTGTGATGTTTCGAATGAGATCAATCAGAGTTCTCCTAAGATAGAAGTCTCCCACAAATGCCACCACTGACAGTGTTCGTTTCGCAACCTGCGACTGGATGAGCGTGTTGGTGGCAGTGGAGGCATATTTGACTTAAAATAGCATCCAAAATTTATAAAATGGTAAAACGCTCAAGGCACGAGCTTGGAAATTTATTTCTAGGCCGGACTAAACTATATTGTAAGTGCACCCGTAGAACTTGGATAAAAGTGGATTTCCAGTGATGAGTGAGTAGACGCAGTGAGGATGAAAGTTCGTCACGAAACGAGAAACAATAAAGGGAGCAGGATTCGATGGAAGGAGAAGTGCAAAGAAGTAGGAAGTGAGCTATGAGAAGATTACCCTTGAAAACACACTAGTCAAAAACAAGTACTTGTCAAGCGGGCACGCGAGGCATTAGAAATGGGTCGGGGATGCGAAGTAAGAAACAAAAACAAAGGAGTTGCACATAGCTTACGACTTCCTTCTCCTCATAGGGCTGTGATCAAGGCATAAAAGCCTATGTTACAAGGGAAGACCTTCAGGCCCGAAGGACCGTTCGAAATGAGATAAACACTTATACAGGGGGGGGGGCAAAAAAGAGTCACTTCATTCTCCGCATTATACAGGGGGCAAAAAAGAGTCACTTCCCTCCACAT